TCCACAGCTTCCTTGTACTTTTTCTGAGCAAATAATTTTGGAACGGCTCCACAATCTGTGAAGAGAGAGAGGGAGTGTGTGTGCTAAATAACTGTAATTAGTTTATATCAACGGATAATTAGCGATTAGTAACAACTTATTAAATGGTTAGTTTCGCAGATTAGTAGAATTAAACTACCAAACACTACCTTTAGTGAATTATAACCGACTTACATTGCATTACACACGTTTACAGTGGATGTAAATCAAATACTTTGTTGCGTAGTTCGTTTTATTAATAGACTATCAGAATAATACAATTGACTAAAAAATTTAATCAAATACTAGGCCTCGGAAAAATAAATCGACTATAAGAAAACACAATTATTTTATTATTAGACAATTTGTATCCCGTAGTTAATTAAGTAAACTGTCACATAAAAGTACGAAAATCGACTTTTGGGCGTCGGATGGAGACGGTGCCCTAAATCGGTGTCAGCAATTTTGGAGACAATGCTAGTTCTTTCGAGATAGTTGACGTTGTCGTCTTATATATACTAATGTGGCTATGGGGAGGAATTATGGTGATTCTGAAGGAGACGGAGGCGCTTCGGATGGAATAGACACGTTTGAACGGTTTTGTATTAGGAAAGGTAGGTTGATAATCGTAGGGATCTAAATTAGGCTCTGGAATGTTAATGCAACACGAATTTTCATATAAATTTGAATAAATGTTGTTCTTAGCTTCAACCATCTTTTAAGTATAATTAATTGGGTCAAATAAAGTTTGCAACCCTAAAATATAGGGTAAGTAACACTTACCTTTTAAAATTGTAAATGAACACTTATCCCCTACATAGATGAATTTAATGGCAAAATTTTGACTTTGGAGGATATGCCCTTGTTTTCTTTCTGAAGTGCCCTTTATATAAATAATGAATAAGTAATAATAATTTTTTCAACAACCTTTCAAAATTTCAATTTTATTATTTTTATATTCTAGTTTTACGAATGAATTTTTTTGAGTTTTAGTTTCATTTTATCTTTACTTTATGTTCGTTGTTAGTTAAAAAAAGTGTAATAATTACTCGAATTTTAATGATGATTTTATTGTTTATCTAGTTACTTTAATTAGTATATCATTCAAAACTTAATATGAAATCACAACTAGAACGTTTAACTATTTTTAATATTTTTTATTATGAAAATTTAAATTTAAGTAACTGAAAAAAAAAATTCAAATCAATACTTGGACATTTAAGTCTTGAAAGAAATATCTTTTTCTTGCAAATGTTTAACATGTTTTATATTTATTTTTAAAACATTTGAGATTTTTATTTATATTTGGGTCATATAGGAATTAAAATGCAGAGTTAAATGTAAATCGAATAATACTTTTAATAAATATTATATTTAATAAAATTTATTTTTTGAAATATTGGTGAAAATATATTATTACATATTCATATTTATATAATGGCTAGAAGGGTGTTTTGGGAAGAAAAAAGCTCACGTCATTTAAAGTCAAAGTCTTACCATTAGATTCATTAAAGGAGTGTGTAAATATTACAGTTGCAACTTTAAAAGGGAAAGTGTTACCAACCCTATGTTAAAACAGAGAAATGGATTGTAGGGGTGAGCATAAAAACCGAGAAACCGAAAAACCGAACCGAAAACCGAAAAAACCGAGCCGATATACACCGTCCTGACTTCAAACCGCATACACAGTACATATTTTTTTTAAAACCGAAAAAATCGGTATGTGTATGGAGAATTTTTTTTTTGCCGAACCGATTTGCCGACCCGAACCGATTTGGGAATACAAAACGACGTCGTTTGATATATAGTAAAAATCGGTAAGTTTTTTTGGTAATCAATGTGGCCATATTCACGTACTTAATATTTTTTTGAAGATGACATTAATGAGATCAAGTTTATTGGTTGTAATCTCATTCTTTTTTATGGCAGCAGTTTTTTTTTTTTTTTTTAATGGTTGTAAATTTATTTTATTTAATAGGTTTGGATTGTTACTTGCTAATTTTCTTAAAGAAATGTGATAGAAGTCCAAATTCACCGTTAATCAAGCATCGGTTTTATACCGAATCGATTCGAACCGATAATGAAATCGAAACCGAAAATAAACCGAATTGATACCGATACCGTTCACCGAAAACCGAAAAACCGATTAGTACCGAACCGAAAAAAAAACCGACATACACGGTTTTAAAATATGAAAAACCGATATTATCGGTACGTGTTTGGATTATCGCAAAAACCGAACCGTACCGACCCGTGCACACCCCTAATGGATTGTGTATTTCATATGTATCATCTAAAAGACTCTAATTACAAAGAATGTAGCATCAAATTTTCTCAATTATTAAAATAGATATAAATAGAGTTATAGCACATAATAATTCTCAAGGGGGTTATATATGCATGTACCTATTTTACTGTCGCAAATTATTTTTCAACACAAATCTCAAAATCTTAAAAAAGTTCCAAAACCTCGTTAAATTTTGTAAATGCTAAAAACAAAATGTATATGTTGATTTTATTCTAATTATATTCCTAACAATTCAACAATTATCGATATGGACGAACACAAATTTGAGTACAATCGGGTTAAAATTACCTATTCTAAATGCTTCGGTTTTGTCATGTTTTCCATAATTACACAAGGTTGTTTTATGTTGTTTATCTTTACTTCAACATTCTCGGGTTTTTTTTCTTCTTTAAACATTAACGGAGGATATATATATATATATATAAAAGCATTCGATCGCAAAATAGTCATTTGAAACATAATTTAAACTAGTGCGAGTTTGGGTGGAAAGATGGACGAAAAATGTCTTGCACGATTGTCGATTATTTGGATGCAAGACCAATCTTTGGCTATCGATGTTATATCGACTTTGACAATCTAACGATATATACTAATTAATCATGTATAAACATAAAAGTTAAACTCTAAAACGAGAGATACATTATTGAATTTCATAATACACGCAAGCTACGTACTACTTGAGAATCGATCAATTATAATTTATTCAGAGTTTAGAAGAAGCTAGCTTTGTGTCTCTTCAAAAAGAAATTGACCGCTTTCTTCAGGTCCGGTTTCCGGCGGGGTTTGATCTGTAGGCGGCGTTTTTTCACCATCACAAGGTTTCGCACAAATGCAGCGGGCCAGCTTATTACAAACGCCGTACTGAAACCCTTCATGCTTGCAAACTATATTGCAATTCCTTTGATTTAATCGAACACATCTCCCCGCAAACTCACGGCTTCTCGATTTGCATATTCTTGTAACCGCCCCGATCTCCTCTGCAAGTTGTAAATAATTACAAGGAATTAATTAGAATGCATCACAATAATAATGTAAAACAAATTGATATATGTATGTACTATATATATATATATATATATATATATATATATATATATATATATATATATATATATATATATATATATATATATATATATATATGCATGCATGATGCATGCAGAGAGAGAAACATACGAGTAGAGAGGATAATGAAGAAGACAACTACCAACAACTTCTTGTCCATATTTTTTTTATGTTTGAGTTTTTGTTAATGATTTTGAACACAAATAACACATTTCTTTTATAGGGGAGCAACTATGTTAAAGAGAAATCATTGAGCAAAAGTCAGCCATTAATAGTGTAACACGTGTTAATTACATATATACTTGCATTTATTAAATAGTAGTCTATAATAACCCTTCTCCATCTAAAGTAATTAAAAGATTTTATCTTAAAAAATCTGGGGATTTTCATCACTTTAATGCGTGTTATGGGGGTTCGTCGGGTCTAAACCCACTCGTACTTCAAGTAACGAGTCTTGATTCTAAAGAACCAAACTACTCTAAGCGAATTTCGAATAGGCTGATTTAGAAAATGCCGATTTGTAACGGGTTTTGCATACATACATGTCCTAAAGAAAAAACCAACCCATCTAGAACTCAAACCGGCCCCCAAATTTTCTTCATACTGAATTAATTATTCCAATGCTAACGACAAACAATTAACAATATGTCATCGACAATCTGTAAGTACTATTAAATCTTATCTCTGATAATTGCCTCTTATACACGAAATTTGTACTCGTCCCTTCAACCCGTGAAATAGCCAACCTAGTGGGATTCTAAGCAGGTTTAAAATCGACCGTACGGTGGATTAAAAGTAGAACTTTATACTAGCTAGTATATATATATATGATTGATTGATTGATAGTATAATATAATTCAATTGCAAGCTTGTCAAATTTAGTATTTTGAAAATATACTAATTATTCAACAATGTTTTCTCAAGACTACTCCTAATCTAAAATTAATCACCATATCTTATAATGAATTGAGGCCGATACGAATCGTTGTGTCGAGGTGTACAGAGATTACTATGTAGCAAGTTTCCACGATATTCTAGACTTGGTTCTTGATTTACATATACGACACAAGTCCTGAATAAAGCTTCTCCCCGGATTACTGCGATACCATATTGTAAGCATTTCTTGATGCATATCAGGAACCACCAAGTCCTGTATAGACAGATAAATATACATTTGCGAAGAGTGGAAGGCTAAAACACATTTCACATCAAAAGATAACATAATCTTCTTCTACTTGCATGTCAATGGCAAAATTAGAAGAACAACTAATTCTTTTTTGTTCAAAATATTTAGCGAAACTCACAAAAAATACTATTGATTACAATGAAATTCCAATTCAAGAAAACTTAATCATCAAAAGAAAATTGTCACTTCGAGGAAAAAAAAATTATTTAGTAACATTCCACTTTAAACAAAACAACCTTATAAACCAAGGAAAAACACAGATTTCACTTCACAAATACACATTGTTTACCCATGGAAGCACTTCAAGATATAAATTTACAAAGAGAAATAGATATTCCACTTTAAGAAACCATTAATTCCCTATCAAATATTTAACTGATTATACTCGAAAATGGAGAATTAGCTAAAATCAAGTTCGTATCAAAGGTAACTCAATCTAGCACGTAAAATCAACTGAACAAAAGCAAGAAATTCAATATTTAACAACAACAATTAACGTCTCACGACAGATATCAATAGTGTACCAACCAAAAGTAAGCCTCAAATTGACAAAATAATAGCAAATAATACATGATTCCGTGCTTACAACATGATTATGCAAGTAGAATCAAGCAGGCTACAATGAACTCTAAAGGGATTTTGACTAAGTTGTTACCTCCTCAATCTCAACCCCATAAGTTTTTTATACGGTAAACAATTAATGTCATTGTACCTGCCACGATCTACAATTACCATAATATGCCACCGAGTCTCTCGATCTTCATCACCCATTTTTTTTTAATGTAATCACTATCACCATTATGATTTCTTAATATTTCCTACAAAGATAAAAACAAATATTTAAACTAGTTCCTGGAATAGATCACGATTCTCACAAACTAATTTTAAATGATTTTTTTTTTTTAAGGAAATATATCCTTTTATCAAGATGGTGATGATGACAACATTCAAAAACAAAATATGGTTAAGAAAAATGGAGAAATTCGGTGGCATGGTATATTAATTATCGTGAAAGACACAACAAAATTTATTTTTACCGCATCAAAAACTCATGGGGTTGAGATTGGGGAGAAAACAGCTTTGCCGAAATCATTTAGAGCCGGAATCGAATGGAAAACAGAGGGTGGGTGTGGGAGACCAGATCTGGATGTATCTAACGAGTGAGGGTGACCGGATCTGTATGGATCTGAGGAGTGAGTGTGACCGGATTCCATTGGTAATTAAGTGAACAAATTTATACGAAGAACTACCCAAAAAAAAAAAAGTGTAGAAAAAAGATAAAGAAGGAGAACGAAGGTGGTGGGTGAAAATGTGAAAAAGATCAAGGGAAAAAGTGGGGTGGTAGGTGTGCATTGAATACGTTATAACTTATATGTAGGGTTGGTAGGTGTCCATTAAATCTAAATCTAAATCTAAGGTGATTACAAAGATAGTTTTTGATACAAAAAAAATATTTAAATTTGGCATCCGTCATGCATTATACATTCAATTGCTCATAAAATTAATCAATTATGTATTAGTATTAGGGCTCATAGGGCATCTTTGGTTTCTTGGAACCAGCTGGATTGACTGATTAATCCGGACAGATCTCGCATTAGGTATTGTGGACAGCTATCCGAGATTGATCCGTGGCCCGGTTTCTATCCGCGAATCGTGTGATTTTTCATCCGGCCAGTAGAGGTCCGATTAGACAATCTGACTATAATTCAGAGTCATTTGCCATTACAATTGACTTTTATATCCTTTGAAAATCCAATAATTTACATTCAAAAACCTGATATAAATACAATCTTTCTCCCCCAAAATTACTTTTTCTTGCCCTAGTCTGGTAAGCTTTGCAGCAGTCAGCACTGTAAGAATTCATTTTTTCTAAAATTTGTTCATTTGGAATTCAAAATGTAAGTACTGATTCGTTGTTCATATAAATTAAAGACAGGTAGGCGGAATAGAGAAACATTGTATCACCTGCACTTCTGGATATTATCATCTTGGCGGAAGATATTTTGAAGGTTTGTGTAAATTATGTTATGTAACCTAACCGACCCTCACTTGTTATTATAGGGCCGATCTTTTCACGGGTTAATCGATTTGTTTCGTTCGTCGATTATTTGCAGTTCCCCACATTAAAATTTTTCCAGTAAAATCACATTTAAAATTTTACATATTTTATTTCCTACGCTGTGAAATTAGTAGATGTAATTATTGCTGTAATTATATGTATTTATACGTTTACAATGTTTTAGGCTTTCAGGGTTGTTATTGAAGGAATATTGATTTTCAACCTCCTGTGTTCGAATCGTCCTCTACTCGTTTAGAAAGGTTAGTACCCTTTTGTTGGACTCTCCCGTATTTTTATAGATCTGTACTGTGTGTTACCTGTTTAGGTGCACATGTTAATAGTCTATTTCAATATTTCGTCATTTTTTCGAACTTCAATTTAATGAGCCCTTGAAGTTACCTTGATAACTACTGTTATGCTTATGTGCAAAATTAGTTAGCAAATTTGATTGGGTTGTGATCAGTTGTTCTCTTTATGTGCATAATTAGTTGATTATCTAAAAGAATTTCCATTGCAATGACTGGGTGTGTAGTCTGTATATTTTTTTTTTGACGAATACCCTTTTATTTGTTCTTTAATTTGAGTTTCATTCCATGGATGCCAATACGGACAAACAGGTTGTTGTTGTCGTAGCGTTCCAATTAGTTGAGCAAATGAGAATGCTAATGGTTATGCATACACAACTTGTGAGATTAGTTAGACGTCGTCAACTTAGGATTCAAAATGGTACTGGTAGGTTCTATAGTCTTAAAAGTAAGATACCTCATCAAATTGATCACCTGTCTTACCTTGTTGGATGGAGTGACACTGTTTGACGCCAAAATTTACGAATGAACACCGATACATTTTCTCGTTTGTGTTATCTTCTTGAAAATGTTGGTGGTCTAGTTGCAACTAGAAATGTGTCTGTAGTTGAGCAAGTTGCTTTGTTCTTGCATATCCTATCACATCACGAAAAAATGTCATAATTCAAACAAATTATAGGAGGTCAGGTTACACAATTAGTATTCATTTTTCTCGTGTGTTGCACGCACTGTTAAAATTGCACAATGTAATGCTTGTTGCACCGGAGCCCGTTGCTGTGGATTGCGATCATGCGCGTTGGAAATATTTTCAGGTAGGTTTGGAGCAAATAAATACATGTGAATTAGACCAATCAACAAGTTTATTTTATTTAACGCATTAATTTTTCATTTTCTTAGGGTTGTTTAGGTGCATTAGATGGGTCATATGTTCCTGCTAGGGTACCACTAGTTGATAAGCCACGTTATAGAAATCGAAAGGGTACGGTTTCGATAAACGTTCTTGCTGTGTGTGATGTAAACTTGAATTTCGTTTACCTGTTGAGTGGTTGGGAAGGCTCTGCTGCCGATAGTAGGATTCTACGTGATGCCGTTACTAGACCTGGCGGTCTTCGTGTTCCAAATGGTACGAAATATCAATTCATAATTTATAATGTTATACAGTTAGACGAAAAAAAACCCGTAAACTGAATGCATTATTTCTAACTTTTCCAGGGCATTATTATTTGGTCGATAACGGATACACGTATGGGCCTGGATTTCTAGCACCGTATAGGGATACTAGGTATCATCTCCAAGAATTTGGTGTGGGTAGAAATGTGGTACGAAATTACAAAGAATATTTTAATCTGAAACATGCGAAAGCACGAAATGCAATAGAGCGAGCATTTGGTATATTAAAATCTAGATGGGGAATACTAAGAAGTCCGTCCTACTACCCGATTAAAATCCAAAGTCGAATAATTATGGCGTGTTGTCTTTTACACAACTTCATTCGCACGACAAACGATCCTGAGGAAGACGATGTCCCTGAAGAAATTATTACACCAATAGATCGTAACCAGTACGGTTTTGTCCAAACTGTTGAGCCATCCCAAGAGTGGACTACTTGGCGCGATACAATAGCAACTAATATGTACAATGCACGGTTAAGAGGGGGTGTACAGTGATGTATTATTCAAATTTAGTACGTATTGATTACCCTGCTACTTTGTTTTTAGAAAAATTAATTTTGTATTCTAAGTATTTTTTTTAAGATAATGTTTGTTATGTGAACTTATCATCTTGCGACTATCAATTTGTGATATATTTAAAAATGTTTGTGTTTCACATATGTCTTGAATTATATGATGTATATTTGTTTTATCAATTAGGAAATAAATTATGGCAACCTCAATTTCTCAAAAGTCTAGTGGAAAAGGGAAGTCAGGTGGAAACATTACTCGTCGTTCTTGATCCGGCAGTGAAGAGAATGCGTTAATAGTGGCACTTAAAGACATCGTATCCCGGGGATGGAAATGTGACAATGGCTTCAAAACGGGATACTTGGGTGTACTTGAACAACACATGGTGCAACGTTTTCCTAACACCGATATTAGGGCTACACCACATATTGTGTCTAAAATACACGTGTGGAAGAAGCATTATGACTCCTTGTCCACTATGCTCAATCGTTCCGGTTTTGGTTGGAATGAGACGGCCAACACAATTGATGTGGAAGATGAGTTGTGGGATGAATACATTAAGGTATCCATACATTAAATCCCATGTTATGTATGTAATTTAGTGTTTACATATACATTTAATCAATGTCTTACTAATCGGATATGCTATTAAATTCAACAGAGTGATCCAAGTGCACGTGTAATGCGTTACAAAGCATGGCCCTTATACAACGATTGTGCTACAATTTTTGGGAAAGATCGTACAACCGGTGAGAATGCCGAAATACTACTTGAAGCGGTGAACAATCTCTCGAAGCAAGATACTGGTATAAGCGATGCATCAGGTGGGGGTGAGCATGTTCCATTTGTGATTGCAAATCCCAACGACGACGAATCAGAATACATGTCATCTATGCAAGGCGGATGCACATCTACCTTTAAACATAATAGCGGTGGAAAGCAGAAAATCCACAAACGCAAAAGAAATAATGATGAGCTAGATACTCGTATTGTTGACATGATGGCTGATATGACAAAATCCTTTGCCGAAACAAAGACGTGCCTTGGTGAATTGGCCCAAAGAATTGGATTCGAGCACGACGCCTCTATTACACGGAAAAAAGGTTTTGGAAGCGCTTTCACCCATGTCCAATTTATCCATCGAAGATAAGATCAATGTGGCTAAAGTTGTGTGTAACAGCCCTCAGGAGTTGGATATCTTTTTTGGGCTCAAAGATGAGGAGAAAATTGTGATGGTTCAAATGATTCTCGAAGGCCGTTATTGATACTTCGGTTGTCACTAATTTAGAATATTTTCATTAGTATTAGTACTTCTATTTTGCATGGCTGTCATGATTCAAAGTCTTTTAAGTTATTTATTTTTGAACTCCTAATTGCACTTGTTAATTAGTTGGAACCCTAATATTGTGTTTTTTTTTTTGAACCCTTTATTTGTTTATGGGACCCTAATTTTTTCTTATTTGATGTTGGGGCCCTTATAACACTTATTTGTTGAATATTAGTTTTGGTGTCAGACATTGTGTTTGCTTAATTTTTTTTTCTCTGCAGTATTTGATAATTGCTGCATTGTTGGTTGGGATTTTTTTCTTACACAGAATATAATAATTACTACATTAGAGAATTTATTCCATGCAGAAGAATATCAACACTTTATTGCACATGTATGTACAGATAAAATATCATACAAAATCAATTCGATAAATTGTATTGAAAAATGTAGAAGTGGAGATCAGCATAACACCAGTGGAATAAATCACACATATAGTTTAATTAATTTAATTAACGTTTTCTAAAACACGTACTCTTCATAAAATAACATAAGTAGTTTTTCAATGACATAGATAAAATCTTCACTTAATATTAAAGAAAAAACCTAAAACACATCAAACCAACAAATATCACATGCTTAGACTAATCCACACACACAAAATGAAATACTTACTACAGAAGGTGCAACAATTCAAAATACAAAATAACCTGCCAAATACGGAAAAAACATGAACCGAAATCTAACCGTACTTAAAGCCGAGTCGGAAAAATTAGACTACATCACACATTAGTCCTAATGCTTGGGTTCGTTACGATCAACGTTGTGGTGTGTTTCACCATTTTCGACCCATGGAACATTAGACCCCGATGAGCTTACACCAAAAAGGTTTGCAACATTCTTATATGTTGGCATCAAAACATCTTTTGGTTTGAGAGGGCTCGGGGCCGCCGAAGTAC